AGGAATGCATGGATTATGCAGTAACCCTAGCAAGACAAGCTGGAGAGGTATGAACTGAAATCTTTTCAGCCATGATGTGTTGGATGTGGACAGCGTGTGGTTGCCTTGTTAAACAAAACATGTACTTTGATTAATCTGTATTTGTTTTCATTTTATTAAACTTTAGCGGAGTGATACTTTAATTTTATGTCATTTAACTTTTTGTGATGACAGTTGTGAATCTAAAATAGGATGTAAGATTCTGATTTTATACCTAGAAGTCATAACCCCTAAGGATTTATTTTATTTACACTGTGGTTAGAAATATTTAAGAATATCATTTAAGACAGATTGAATGTTTCAGACCATTTCTGCATTTCATCTTTTAGTTTGATTTAAAATGACTTATGCTTTTCCTATTTGCTTACCAAAAAATCTTTTTAGATGGCTCGTGAAGCCCTAAAAAACGAAATGAATATTATGATCAAAAGTTCTCCAGTTGACTTGGTAACTGCTACTGACCAAAAAGTTGAAAAAATGCTTATCTCTTCCATAAAGGAAAAGTATCCATCTCACAGGTATTTCTTATTTCAGTTTCTTGTGATAAAAATGAAATCTAGGTTGGAGTCAGTAGTACTAGACAGAAATTTTGATTTTAGACTCAGTAATTGACTATACTTAATTTAAGCTGAACGGGAATTTATTTGGAGGGTGTTGGGCAGCTCAGGAGCCCTGAGAGCAGGGCTCAGCTGGGAACCAGGGAGGAAGGCAGAGCTGGTTAGGATTGGGTTAGGGTTAGGGTTAGGGTTAAGGTTAGGGTTAGGGTTAGGGTTAGGAGCCATTGCTTCAGATGCTGCTGGTAGACTCACTCCTGACTCTGCTCACTTTGGATATCTTTACCCCATTAGCTCAAGATTACAAATCCTGGGCAAGAACATCTGCTAGCTGAACTGAGATTGTTTGCCTAAGCTCACACTTCCAGGGAGCAGTGAACAGGGGCTATTTGGACTCCTTTATAGTAAGAGGAGTGTTTGGATGCTGGGAAGTTGATGTGGCAAGTGGCTGGCATAGACAAGATTTAAAGTTCAGTTTTATTCTCTATAATGCAAACTTTTTTAGGTGCTAACGTCATGGTAGCTTTAAGGAGTTTGAGAGAAAATACTAAAATCAGGGCTTTCTTTATAGGCACAGAAATATAACCAAAATATTGTCATCATTTTAAGGGCTTAACATTGTCATTCTCTACTTCTTCGTGATCATGCCATTGGCCATTCCTGGTATTTTAGTCACTGAGGAGAAAAAAAATGTTTAAAGCTAAATATATGTCTTCTCAATGAAAAGGTTTATAGCCAAGAGAAAAAGAGATACAAGAAAATTATGATAATGATTATTAGGACTGTTCAGTATTGAATAAAGGACATAAATAAAAAAGAAAGTAGCAACGGAAAGAAGAAATTCAGTGAACTCAGACACCATTTACAGAATTCAACCTGATTACTGTGTAGCGTGTTTTAGGAAAGCATGTAGACACAATAATTTTGGTGGGTGATTTGCTTTCTCATTGACTTATTTAATGTTCTATATATTATTTATTGCTGTATAGCAAGTTACCCTAAAAACTTAGCAGCTCTAGACAGCAAACATTTATTATCTTAAGAGTTTTCTAGGGTCAGGAATATGGTAGTAGCTGGGCTGCATTGTCCTTGCCAGGGTCACGTAACATTATAGTCAAACTGTGGGTCACCTCAGGCTCAACTGGGGCTGAAGGGGCCATTCACTTATGTGATTGTTGGTGACTTAAGTTCCTCATGGGTTGTCTGCGGCAGCTCTTCTCAGTTCCTTACCATCTGGGCCTCTCCACGGAGCAGCTGATAACATGGTGGCCGGCTTCCCCCAGAACAACAGAGGGAAGGGGAGGGAGGAAGAAATAGAGTGAATAAGATGGAAACCTCAGTGCCATTTTGTGAACGAGTCTTCCAAGTTGCATGTTGTCACTTCCATTTTGTTCTATTGGTTAGAAACGAGTCACTAAGTCCAAATTCACACTCAAGGCAAAGGGTGTTAGGCTCTCTACCTCTTGAAGAGAGGAGTATGAGAGAATCTGTGGACTTATTTTTAAAACCTCCACATTTCCTTAGTAAGTTCTCATCTGCAACAAATTCCCTTTTCAGCATGTGTGCCTTCACTTATCCTGGCATTACATTTGAGAATTTCAGATTCTGTTATTTTTCACATGACTTTGTTCCGGGGGAAATAAAACTTGCTCACTTTCATCAGTCTGCAGGAAAAACAATAGAAAAGTGTAGTGTACGGACTTTTGTTATGTTTTATAGTAGACCCTGGGTAGCTGAAGGTTTGAAAATTGTTGAAAGCAATGTAAAGATTCAGAGTTTGTCGTTTTTGTTTTTAGTTTCATTGGCGAGGAATCTGTGGCAGCTGGGGAAAAAAGTATTTTAACTGACAGCCCTACGTGGATCATTGACCCTATTGATGGAACAACTAACTTTGTACATGGGTACGTTTTAAACATTTTAACATTGTAATTACTGTTTGTGTATTAACTGAATGGACTGTTGGATATTTTGTTCACAAACATATATACTTTAGAGGATTGTGTAAATTGTAGAGTAGTTTATAAGTGTATTATGCGTAATTTTCATCAGCTATGGAAGAGGTGATGAACTATTAACGTTATAGACTTGTCTTGTGCAGGGAAGTGCCCTGTTCACCATTCTTTTTCTCACTGTTGAAACCACATAAAAATGTATGCAGGCAACATTGCTGCTTTGAGATCAATTAAGGAAATAACTAACTCATTACTGGGGTGTTGTCTATATAGAATGGGTTCAATCCAGGAGAAAAAAAACTGTTAAAAAGAGCGTGGGTTTTAGGATGTGTGAATTGTGACCTCGAACAAGTTGCTTAATCTTTCTAGGCCTCAGTTTTTTTTTCATTCTGTAAAATGGGCACATTATATGGTACCTGCCTCATAGAATTGCTTGTTCCTCAGTTTTTTTTTTCATTCTATAAAATGGGCACATTAATGGTACCTGCCTCATAGAATTGCTTGTTGATGGGACTCAATGAGTTGTACATTTATATAAGAACTTACTCTAGTGCCTGGCACAAAGTAAGTATATAACTCAGGATATTTAGAAGAAAGCCTGATAGAATTGCCAGTGAGAGTTCAAATGAGTAGCCTAGTTTGGTGGGATGACACATAGTTGTTATACTTGAAGTTACCACGTAACTGTATGTATCTTTACTAATAGAATTGTTAAAGCCATAAAGCTAAGATGTAGAATCGTTTTGTGATGGAATGTTAATGTGGAAAGATGCTCATAATATTATATAACATAGAGAAGATTATAATATAGTGTATAGCATGATCCCATTTTTGTTAAAATTAAAACTATATTCATGGAATTCTACATTTAAATGGTATGAAATGGCATACAGTGCCAAGTGGCCTTCCCACTTCTGACCCCAGCTTCTCAGGACCCATCTCTGGAGGTGACCATTGTTATCAGCCTCTTGTGAATCCTTTCAGAGATGTCTCATGCCTGTAGAAGCATCCTGTATGTATGCATCTGTATATTCTACCCTCCCCATCCCCTACGATTTACACAAAGGCTTGCATACTGTACACACAGTTCTGGGGGAGGAGGGATAAGACTGTTCATATGAAAAAATTTGTAAGCAGTTTTATTATGAAAAAACATGTTTGTTGAAAATAAGTTCTATTTTGATAAATTTATGTGTGTGTGTTTTTTTTTTAAAGATTTCCTTTTGTAGCTGTTTCAATTGGCTTTGTTGTAAATAAAAAGGTATGTTGTTTAAATTTATGGTTGGTAAAATGCCTTGCTCTCATTTTCTGAGAAAGAGTAAATGTGTCTCCATAATAAATTTAGGTTTTCAATTTATGTAGCTGCATTATTTTGAAATAAACTCCAGAACTGTTAAACCTGTCATGATACTTTTTCCAGTGAAGAAAATGTAATGTTTTCTGAGAAGATTTTATAAGGAAAAAATACACACAAATAACTGAAATATGATTCAGTATTTAATCACCATTATATATATGATAGAGTCAGATAAGATAGGCGTTGATGTAGGGTCTAAAATGCTTAATGGAAGAGGTGTGCTTTCAGCTAGGAATGCTTTAGTAGGCATTGTGAAGGGAAACATCAGGAAGTGTAAGGGGCCAAGCAAGGTTAGAAAATGCAGACTATGTTCAGGAACCTATCTAAAGCCCAGTAGAGTACAATCTCTACCTGTTGCATTTCCGTGCTGTTTGGGTATTTGATTGATCAAAATACGAATGATGTTTACTAACATCTTACATAACTGTCTTCAAGGGGTTTGCGATATATTTGACCAGCATGTACACAAGAGAGTTAAGAAATCTCTGAAAATAAAAACACAAATTAGTGCAAATGGAATCTTAGGCACAGGATTGTGTTAATCAGTGAGAACATTCAAAGGGAGATAGGTGAGCATTTCTCATTTAATCAGCCCTGGGCTGTTGAACTCCCAGTTCAGTGCAAAAGTTACATGTGTGAACAGATAAAGGTAATATGTGGTGGAACTGTAAAAAAAAAAAAAAAAAAATTCACGCGCACACACACACACACACACACACACACCCAATGGGGGGGAATTGAAAAAAAAAAAAAAAAAAAAATACTATGAAAGCATGAAGAGGGTGTAACCAATTCTGCCAAGAGTAGTTTGGGGAAATCTTCATACTAAATTGAAGGGGTCTTAGAATTTGGTCATGTGAGTTGGGTCATAGCAAATTAGGGGTTTGCCAGATAAAGAAGAAAAGGAAAGCATTTTAATAAGAAAGAACAGTTTGGAGAAGAGCATGATGTGTGTGGGGAACGGTGAGATGTTCATTGTGAGCAAAACTCTGGAAATGGCAGGAGCAGAACCAATGAGGTGAGTTAGTTGTGGTCTTGCCGTGAGGCACTGTGGCCTGTCCATGTCAGAACATTTAGATTTTGTTTTTAGGTGGTAGGAAACCAGTAGAGGTTTTTAAGTGCAGAGTGACAGATAATTCCAGCAATGTAGAGGTCACACCAGAGGGGCAGGTGATTCTGAACTCAGATGGAGGTGGGGAGAATGGCTGAGGAAATGCCAAAAATCAGGAAGTGTTTTCAAGATAAAATTGGAAGGAAGTGACTAATGGGGAAGGAATGAGGTGTGAATGATCAGGTAGTGAGTGAGTTTGACCTCCTCAATTGAGGTTTCTGCAAGCCTGGGTTCTGAAGCACAGCTACTGACCTGTGAAGATGGGGTTGGTGGGAGCCACAGTTAGAGAGGTAGTTGAATTTGTGGACTGGAAAGAACAAACCTGTAAGAATCGAGAGAGCTTAAAGGGAAATGGAAGAAAAGGAAGAATGAAAAACTCTGAGCAACACAACTTTTAGGGGTTAGGCAGAGAAGATCATAAGAAACTGTGACACCAAGACGGATCAGTGAGTGTAGTAGGAGGTCTAGGAGAATACTGCCAGGAACACGGAGTATGGGATTAACTGGTGATGGTCAGCAGTCTCCGAATCTTCAGAAGAGGCATTTGGTCAGCAAGAGTGCATTGATGATCTCTTTGCAAGGAGTTTCAGGAGATGCGTGATCAGGGAAGAAGCCAAATTGTAGTGTAGTAAGAGAATGGGAGATGCAAAGTCTAGACCACTCTTTGGCAGCGAAGAGAAAAAGAGAAGGTAATGTTTTGAAGGTTTTGTGAGGGAGGAAGAAATTTGGCGAGAGTCCCGGAATGGAAGTCCAAGAGAGGAGAGGTCAGTTGATGGAGCAGTTTTTCAGAGAAGTTTAACAGGAGGAAGGATTCACCCTAGAAAACAGGAGCGACCTGTCTTCATCTGAGGCTGGAAGGAGAGAGGTCAAGGTGGCTGCCCTTAAATTTAGAAATGGATGAGACAGGAGTCAAATGTTTAGGTCTGATGACTTCTTTCCTCTGACTAAGCTGGGAATTAGCATTTTAAATATCCCACGGTTTAGCCATTTGAAAACATAATTAGTATACCAGATTTTCTTGTTACTTTCTTAGAAAAAGTATGGATGACATGAGAAAGAATGCTCAGGTTTGGTAAAGGAAACTTGTTTTCCTTCTGCAGATGGAATTTGGAATTGTATACAGTTGCATAGAGGATAAGATGTATACTGGCCGGAAAGGAAAAGGTGCCTTTTGTAATGGTCAAAAACTGCAGGTTTCACACCAAGAAGGTAGGTTTATCCTCTAATTTTTGGTGTGATTGATATTATCTTCTTTTTTTTTTTTTCTCAATCATTTTAAATAAAAATGTTCCCTAGGAGCCAGCTGGGCCAAATGATTAACGTGTCCTTGAGGAGAGTTGTGGTATAGTGGGGCCTGTAGCTCAACAGTGTGGTAGAAGAGCCAGTGGACTCGCTGTCTGTGTTTGTATGCTGTTGTTTTTGAATGTTAACCTGTAGAGCTCTCCAAGTGTTAACTGATTCATAAATTGTGTCTGTTTTCTCTGTACTTTTAAATTGTGACTGCAATTTTGGATGTAGTAGTGGAAGCAGGGGAAGCAAGTGCGATGGAGCAGAAGACACTTGAGGCTTGCCTTTTGTCAGGGGCTGGGGAGGAAGATGAGGAAGAATGACTCTCTGCCCTCATGACGTTCATGTTTTATTGCTTCAGCCACTGCATCTCAAATTCTTTGTAGAATTCCTTTGTTCTGATGCCATTGGGCCCAGTTATTAGTAAACTGAGGGGGAAAAGGCACTTCAAGTTGGGAAACATGAAAAGCGAGGCATAAAACTATTATATATAGGATGCATAAACAACAAAATTCTACTGTATAGCACAGGGAACTATATTCAGTATCCTGTGATAAGCCATAATGGAAAAGAATAGGAAAAAGAATACATATATATGTATAACTGAATCACTTTGCTGTATAGCAGAAACTAACCCAACATTCAGTTATACATATATATTATTATTTTTCTTATTCTTTTCCATTATGCTTTATCACAAGATATTGAATATAGTTCCCTGTGCTGTACAGTAAGCCTTGTTGTTTATGCATTCTGTATATAATAGTTTGCATCTGCTAGTCCCAAACTCCCAATCCTTCCATCCCCCTTGGCAACCACAAGTCTATTCTCTATATCTGAGTCTGTTTCTGTTTTGTAGATGTGTTCATTTGCGTCATACTTTAGATTCCACATATAAGTGATATCATATGGTATCTTTCTCTTTCTGATTTACTTCGCTTAGTATCATAATCTCTAGGTCCATCCATGTAGCTGCACATGTCATTATTTCATTCTTTTTTATGGCTGAGTAATATTCCATTGTATGTATATACCACATCTTCTTTATCCATTAATCTGTTGATGGACATTTAGGTTGTTTCTGCGTCTTGGCTATTGTAAATAGTGCTGCCATGAACATAGGGATGCATGTATCTTTTCAAATTATAGTTTTATCTGGATATATGCCCAGGAGTGGGATTGCTGGATCATACTGCAACTCCATTTTTAGTTTTTTGAGGAACCTCCGTACTGTTTTCCATAATGGCTGCACCACTTTACATTCCTGCCAATAGTGCTACCATTTAATTTTAATTTTTGTGGTTTTCAAATCTATACATAAATTATTTCATTTCTAGATTACACTTTTTTTTTTTTTTTTTGCGGTATGCGGGCCTCTCACTCTTGTGGCCTCTCCCGTTGCGGAGCACAGGCTCCGGACGCGCAGGCTCAGCATCCATGACTCACGGGCCTAGCCGCTCCATGGCATGTGGGGTCTTCCCAGACCGGGGCACGAACCTGTGTCCCCTGCATCGGCAGGCGGACTCTCAACCACTGTGCCACCAGGGAAGCCCCCTAGATTCCACTTCTAAAACAAATATGCAAGACGTTTGCTCGTTTCCCACTAGATGTGTCATGCATGCAGGCAGATTGGTTATATTCTGTACTTTTGTGGGGGTGGTCTAAGGAGCTAGACTCTTTTTGATGATTATAAAAATGATGATAAAATAACTAAAAGAGATAATAAAATGATAAGTATTTTAATATTTAAAGCCTTAGAAAGAAACAAATATGATACAACTAGGAAGAGGAATAAAAATGTCCAATTTTTTCTGAGTTACAAGTGTCAAATTTTTTATCAGAATTCTTATTAATAAACTCTAATGATTATTTAAAAACATTTTCTTTTAGATGTTACCAGATCACTTTTGTTGACAGAGTTAGGCTCTTCCAGAACACCAGAGACTGTGAGAATTATTCTTTCTAATATGGAAAGGCTTCTTTGCCTTCCCATCCATGGGTAAGCTCTTTTCACTTTCTTCCTAAAGTTGAACATTCTATGTTAACATTATAGATAATTTGACATTCTAAGGAATGAATTTTTCTTTAGAAATGAAATTTTTAATTAATAGACATGGGATCAGTACCATAGTTCTAATTTTATAATGTAATTTTTAAAACTTTTATTTGAAAATAATTTCAAATTTAACAAAATTTTCAGAAATAAAAAACTACAAGAAACAGTAGTATACAGTTTATCCAGATTCACCTATTGTTAACATTGTACCCCGTTTGCTTTATCATTTTATCATTCCTTCTTTTCTCTGTCTCTGTCTCTCTCTCTGTCTCTCTCTGTGTATGTGTGTGTGTGTTTGTGTAAATATACTCCTTTTTTTCCCTGAACTATTTCATGGTAAATTATTTAGATCATGGCTCTTTACCCCTAAATACTTCAGTTTGTTATTTCCTAAGAATAAGGATACTGTCTTCCATAACCACAGTACAATTATTGACTTCATGAATTTGCTCTTTATCTAGTCTACCATCCACATACATATATAGGTTTGTCAGTTGATCTAATAATGTCTTTTTAGCATTTTTCTTCCTCCAGTGCAAGATTCAATCTAGGGTCAGTATTATGTTTAGTTGCCATGTCTCTTTGGCCACCTTTAATCCAGAACATTTCCACAGCCTAAGTGATTACCCACTTCCTCTAAGTTTTCAAGTTATTTGCATAGAGGTATACAAAGTAGAATCTTATAGTTTATTTCTGGCCTCTGTACAGTAGTTATTTCCCCCTTATCATTTCTTACTTTGTATATTTGTGCTTTCTTCTTCTTTTTAAAAAATCTTGATTAAGTTACTTGGTGGTTTGTCTATTTTATGTTTTTTCAAAGAACCAGGATTTTGCTTATTAATCTGGTCTACTGTTTTTCTCCTCTGCTTTATTATTTTCATCATTGTGCTTTCTTTTTCTTCATTTTGTTGTTTCCTTTTTTTTTTCCTTTTTAAGTAGAGAATTTATTTTTATGCTTTGATTTTTATTGATGTAAGTATTTAGGCTATGACGTTTTATCTGATTACTGCTTTAAATGTATCCCATAGATTCTGATGTGTTTTCATTTCAATTATTTTTCACAAAATTTGTTACTTCTGTTTGTGTTTCCCTTTTCACCCAAGAGTTGTGTTCTTAAATTTCCATGAGGAAATGACTTTTTTTGCTTTTTTAATTTCATTTTTAATTTGTAGTTTTATTACATTGTAATAAATATATATTATGGAGCTTTATGTTTTCTTTGTGCCCAGTATATGATCAGTTTTTGTGGAACTCCCATATGCACTGAAAAAAAAGTACATTCTGTATTGTACTTTGATGTTTGAACTTGAAATCTGCTTTGACATCAGAATTGTGCCTGGTAAATCTTTGTCCACTCTTATTTTTAGTCCTTTTGAATCACTGAGTTTTAAGTGCATCTCTTGAATATAGCATAGAGTGGAGTTTTGCTTTATAATCAATTTAAAAATCTTTTTTCTTTTCATAAAAAAGTTAGGCTTACTCATTTATTGATATGACCGTTTTGTTTGGTCTCAATTCTGTTGTATTATCTTACATTGTAATTACTTTGTATATTATGTTACTGTATTTATTTGGTGTATCCTGCTTTTTTTCTTTTTAGAAATAGAAATTTATGAAAGGTTCAATTTTATTCTAGTGGGTTTCTTTTATATTAAAACTCTTTATAATGCTCTTAATATTCTCTTTTCTTACTTGACCATTTACTCTCTGTAAAGGCTCCAGAACGTTTTGGCTTCCACCTGTTACCTATATGACATTCAATGATTTTACTCTACTTTCCTCTTTTTCTCTCCCTTTTCATCCAGTTTTTTAAGTTGCATTCTTTCTACTTTGTCAGACGTATTATTATTACATAATTCTTTCACCCATGGTCCCATCCTGTGGTCTTAGTTTTTGACTTTATAAAATGCTCACAGTCCTTCCATGAAGTTTTCCTGGTGTCAAAAGTTCATAAATAACAGAATTAAAACCAGTGAATCACTGAAGTATAATTAGTAAAAGTTTATTGTGCACACACCAAAAAGACAGTTTGCAAACCAGGAACACCCTGACCAAAACATGAAATGAGGCTCAGGCATATATTGTTATAAAGCAGCTTATAAAGTGAGAAAGCACTATTTATTCTTCACAGTGATTGGCTGTAATAGAATTTTTTTAAATGATAGAGAATTGATTAGTGGTTACCTCATATCAACCTTGAGAAACAACTTAAGTTTTGCTTGTCATTTCCAGAAGCATAAGCAAGAAATGACCCAGGTTGAGTTAGTTTTGCAAAATATGCCAAATTAAGCTTTGTTTGCATGACTAAACTGGTTTTGTCTGCTCAGGGAATTTTCAAGGCTGGTCTCTGTTTTTGATTTAACACCAATCACCTTTAGATTAGATGAAGCTCATCTCTTAGTAGATGCCTTGAGAAGGGCACACGTACACAGTATTCCATGAGATCTGGCACATTCCAAACGGTTTTTCTGTGGTCTTGAAACGTGAAGGACAGCTTGGCTGGATAGAACATCCTTAGTGAAAGAAAGTATAAAGTACATTTCTTTTTTTTCTTTTTTTTTAGAAATTTATTATTTATTTATTTATTTTTTGCTTCGTGGGTTTTCTCTAGTTGCGGTGAGTGGGGGCTACTCTTCGTTGCGGTGCGTGAGCTTCTCACTGCGGTGGCTTCTCTTGTTGCAGAGCACGGGCTCTAGGCGCACGGGCTTCAGTAGTTGTGGCACGTGAGCTCTAGAGCGCAGGCTCAGTAGTTGTGGCGCACGGGCTTAGTTGCTCCAAGGCATGTGGATCTTCCTGGACCACGGATCGAACCCATGTCCCCTGCGTTGGCAGACGGATTCTTAACCACTGCGCCACCAGGGAAGTCCTGAAGTACATTTCTTAAAAATGCTATTACAGGGCTTCCCTGGTGGCACAGTGGTTAAGAATCTGCCTGCCAATGCAGGGGACACGAGTTTGAGCCCTGATCCAGGAAGATCCCACATGCCGTGGAGCAACTAAGCCCGTGTGCCACAACTACTGAAGCCCGCGTGCCTGGAGCCCCTGCTCCGCAACAAGAGAAGCCACCGCAATGAGAAGCCTGCGCACCGCAATGAAGAGTAGCCCCCGCTCGCTGCAACTAGAGAGAGCCCGTGTGCGGCAATGAAGACCCAACACAGCCAAAACTAAAATAAGTAAATAAATTAAAAACCCAAATTAAAAAAAAAATGCTATTATACTATTGCCTTGCTTTGTATGTTATGAGAAATCTGATGCCAATTTAATCTTCTTGGCTTTTAAATTATTTCATTTTTTACTTGGAGGCTCTGAGAAAAATTTTTTTCTTTTAATCTTTCATGGCTGACACTTTTATGAGAGTGTATCTTAGAATTGCTCATTCTGGTATGTTTTCTCCCTATAACAGGTAGATTCATATCTTTTTTTTTTTCTGGGAAGTTTTCTTGAGTTTTAGTTTTAAGTATTAGTTCACTTCTGCTGTTTTCATTTTCTTCTTCAGAGACACCAGCAGGAACATTAAATCTTCTTTGTTTCTTCCCTTTCAGCCACTTTCTCTCCGACCCATTTTACTTCTTTTATCACTTTTCCTCACTGCCCTTTATTAAGTTTTCATTTGCATCTGTTCTCTTTAGGGGACCTCGCAATTTAGTCTTCTTTTCTGATAGAATTTTGTCTTTTTTGTCCCACTTCTTTTCTGAGTTCAGTCATCTCTTGTTTCATTTTTTCCTTGTTTTATTTTGTTTTGTTCATTTCTGTGCTTAATTTTTTGCAGAGACACTTGATGAGTCAAAAAAACCCCAAACACTTTTATTAGCAATGTCTGATGTTTCACAGTAGATTTGTGTGGATGTGTCTACTTTCTCTGTTTCTGTTTACTTTGCGATCTGGGTTCCTGGTTTCAGAGCTCCTTATCCTGTCAGTTCTACCCTTCTATATAGGTTTTGTTATGAATTTCTGTTAAGTGGTGGTGGGAGGTGAGGATTGGTATGTCTTGTTTCTCTTTCATTTCTCAGGATCTTTAATTTTTTCACTCTTAGCTCCTGCTTTTCCTTCACTTTGTCCCAAGAGATACCACCTCCTTTTATTTTAAATTGAAGTATAATTATATATTAATTATAAATGACATTTATGAAGCAAAGTAAATCATTATGGGTCAATTTCCTTTGTGTAATTTTTTGGGATTTGTTTAATGAAATGCACTGTATTTGTTTACTTTAATGATGTTTTCTGGTATCATGCTTTAGGGAATAATTTCTTCATAAATATAGCTACTATTTTTTGAGGCTCTTTTATATGCTAGGCCCTCTGCTAGGTGCTTTACGTCTGTTGTTTCTAATCATTGCAGCCATAGCCAAGGTAAATTGGTATCTCCATTTTGATGACAAGAAAGCTAAAACTTGAAGAAGAAACTTTTTCAAAATTATAGTTTTTAAGCAACTGAGTAGGGGAGCAAACTCAAATCTTTGTGATTCTGAAGATAGTTTTTTTTACTCTATACCATCCTAGCTGTATCAGACTAACATAGAATTCAGGACACATATGCAAAATCTAGACCACAGCCTCAATTATTTGGTAATTAATAATATTTAGTAATATTTGTCCATAAAAGAATATGCTTTCTGATCAAAAGACCTCTTGACTGAGAGCCATTGATACACATCAAAAGTAGACAGAAGCATAGCCTATATGCTGTGCTGGAAGAACAATGCCTAGCATTGTTCTTCCAGCCTAGGGTTCTATGTTTGAATAGAATACCAAGAGATAATTTGTGAACGATCTTGGTATTTTCTTTCTATGACATGAGATATGAACTATCACATACCCTTGAGAAAAGGAGGAAAATACACCATTATTTATAAACTAAAAAAAGCCACTAAAGTTAATTTGGGTTTATATATTTGGAAAGCAGTCAAACACCTATGGAAGTTTATTGAGGTTGCTAGTTCTTTCTTAAATTTGATATATAGTAAGAATATAGGCAGTAAAATGTATTTGAAATCAAGGGCATCATGTAATTCTGATCCTTTTTTTAAAAAAAAATTGCTTTGGCATGAAGGATGTACTCAGGTGCAGTACTTTTTTATTTTTAAGAAACAAAACAAATACCACATTAGTCGTCAATTTCCCACTATTTCTTTTTTTAAAATTTTAATTTTATTGGGGTATAGTTAATTTACAATGTTTTGTTAGTTCAGGTGTACAGCAAAGTGATTCAGTTATACATATACATATATTCATACTTTTTTGGATTCTTTTTTCATATAGGTTATCTCAGAATATTGAGTAGAGTTTCCTGTGCTATACAGTAGGTCCTTGTTAGTTGTCTGTCTTACATATAGTAGTGTGTGTATGTTCATCCCAGTGTGTGTATGTTCATCCCAAGCTCCTGATTTATCCCTCCCCACTGCGTCTCCCCTTTGGTAACCATGGCTTGTTTTCTATATCTGTAAGTCTGTTTCTGTTTTGTAAGTAAGTTCATTTGTTTCATTTTTAAAAATTAGATTCCACATATCATATGATACCACTCATATGTGGAATCCCCTTACTTTTTTAAAAATAAATAGTGAAGGAACTCAGTGAACAGACCTGACTGCTTTATTTTCAGAGGTTTAAACAACTAAAAAGGAAGCTTGAGTAAAACCCATTTGAAAGTAGTAACTTACAGACATGATGACCTCTTTTTCTTAAACATTTCAGTGTGTATATTTTTGATAAAAGGGGCATTCTTTAACATAACCACAATTACTAAAATCAGGAAATTAAGTTTGATACATTATCTAATATAGTGACTTAATTCATATTTTGAAAGAATTCTAATCCAAGATCCAAGCCAGGATCATACACTGCATTTAGGTGCCATTTCTCATCAATTTCTTTGAATCTGGAGCAGTTGCTTAGTCTACCTTTTATGACCTAGGCATTTTTGAAAAACATAGGGTAATTATTTTATAGTATGCCTTTTGATTTGAATTTGTTGGGTTTCCTCATGATTAGATTTGGGTTATGCATTTTGGGCAGGAATGCTACAGAAGTACTGTTATTTCCTTCTCAGTGCATAATATCAGGAGGCACTTGGTACCTTTTTGTCCCATTATTGAATATTAACTTTGATCACTTGGTAATGATCTTGCTATCTTTCCCATTGTAATTATTGTGTATCTTATAGGGAGATACTTTGATATGTAAATATCATTCATCCACTCATTTTAGCGTTTACTGATGATTCTTTCCTGAATCAGTTATTATTATAATGGCTAATAAAGTAATGTCTGTACTTACCTTAACTTGATATATTTCCAAGGAAAAGCTACTGTGAGAAGGCAAACCTGAAATAATCTTTCCAGGCAGGCCTAGATCTAAGCAGAGCCCACCAGTGCTGTTATCTCTTTGGTCACGTGTACTGATGCCCATGCAGTTGGGGGTGACCGGGAGTACATTTTCACCCTTCTATAAACTACTTGTATTGTGGGGCTGTTGTCCCTGGGTTTAGACCACAATGAATATACATGCATGCCATAATAGTAGAATTATAGCATTTTCTTCAGTTTTTTTCCCCAAAATATCCTTGTTTTAAAGTTTATATTATAAATGATTGCTTCATAAGGATTAGTTTTGTCATTTATATAGTGCATCATGACTGTTGCATCAGTCAACACTTATAGGAAACTGAAGTTAAGGAGGAGTGCCTTATTTGAAATAATTTCTTTTTCTATCTTATTTTAAAATGTTATTTGTTAGGATCCGAGGTGTTGGAACAGCAGCTCTTAATATGTGCCTTGTGGCAGCTGGAGTTGCAGATGCATATTATGAAATGGGAATTCACTGCTGGGATGTAGCAGGTGCTGGTGTTATTGTGACTGAAGCTGGTGGAGTACTCTTGGATGTAACAGGTAAAATTATGGGACAGTAAAGCATTTTTCTTTCCATATCTGTTGGACCTTCCTGTATATATGGCTTTTTTCCTTTAATGTTTGTTACATGTTATACCTCGGCTCTTAAGGCAAAAAAAGCCATGTAATTTTCTACACAATCAAAATAACAAACATTGGGAGATAGAGGCAAGGATAAGAAGCTAATGGTAGCATGGGATTAATAATGATAAATGGCTTAGCCTCTTCAAATGTGAGTATCAGGAACTCTGAGAGGCTATAGAAAAAGCCTAGAAGGTCACTGAATCTGAGAATTGTACCAAGAATTCTCTGAATGGTGACCATGGTGGTGGTTGAACATGGACTTCCTCCACCATCACTTTCTGCCTTGAGCCTAGAGGGGCTACGTATTTCCTCTGCGCTGGTGGTGAGATTTTTAAAAGTAAGAGTGAACCTGGGTTAAAATAATTCATCAGTGGCCTGGGAGAAAAGCAGCAAAGTATTAAGGAAATGGGAAGGAGAGTGGTGTGAAGATGCATTGGAGTCAGATTTTCTGTCCATAGATTCCCAAACATTAAAGAGGTAATAAGAGTAATAAAAAGAAGAAATAGAACACACAAAAGGTGAAATAGAGAAAAGATGACATTTTCCAGACTAGTGTGATTGAGATACCAGTTCCTTCCACAACTGGTATTTACTAAAAGAAGGTGCTTAGAAACTCATTTATGTATTATCAAAGCTTAAACATTATGGTTATGTGACAGCATAGATCTTTTTAAAGATAGTCGAAAGTATTAAAATGTTATGATTGACCATAGTACATATTGCTATGCAAGTTTTATAGGAATTACTTTTGTACAGGATATAACCATGTTCCATATTTGATTTTAGGTGGACCATTTGATTTGATGTCACGAAGAATAATTGCTTCAAGCAATAAGACATTAGGAGAAAGGATAGCCAAAGAAATTCAGATAATACCTCTTCAAAGAGATGATGAAGATTAATTCTAACAGCTTCACACATTCAATCACAGTTGCATCTCTCCAGGTTTGCTGATGGTGTTACAAAATTCAGGACATCTGTTTCACTTGAATAATATGATTGGTTTAAATTGTCTTTGATGTCCAGATTAAAAATTGCAACTTGTTCTGTATTTTACTAAGAGTAGGTATTCAAGAATAGCTGAAATGTTTGTTTCATTGTTTTAAAAATTTTTGCGTGTTAAGAATGTACTTTGGGAAAAATATGCAGGCAGTTGATGAGACAGGTATCACATCAACTGAAATAGTCAGTTAGCAATTTAGAGTTTCTAAGTATTTATGAGCCTCTGAAATTTTGACTTAACTATTTATGTGCGTATGCATTCTTAATTAGAAAGTTAACTTTTTGGAAAAATTTTTTTCTTTAGTTCCAAAAGCCACACTTAACTAAATTTGTAAGAAGTATATAATGAGTACTTCCTAGAACCAAGGTTTCTTTCTTTGCAGAGAACCTTGTTTTATTAATCAGTGTAGCACCAAACATGGTACCTGTTAAATAGTAGGCAATCCAAAAATAAGCACTGAAAGAATTAATATTTTAAAGGTAGCAATTCCTAGTTGCTGCATAAAGTAATGAGCTCATCATTCTGTAATTTTACTTCAGGTTTGGAAGTAGAAATTATCTAGTCATCCTTTTTATATTTCACATTACCATTCCTTTTAACATTCACATTACCATGCCATTTCAATTAACTGTACCTATACGTCCTGATACATTTCAATTACTGTACCTCCTGATATCATTTGTTATTGTGGGCATTTCTGCAGTTTACATGTTTTTCAAAACACTGCATTGCAGTATTTGTTTGGATTTCTTTAAAGTCCATATATAAAAGAGAAGAAACAGTTTCAGAAAAGCACTTTCATCAGGTATCTGATGTAACTAGATACTGTATGACACTTTACTAAACTCAAAATTCATGTTTTCAAGATGATCTGGCTGAGCACAGGACCCTGGCAGATATACTGCATTGTTAATATTGAACTATTTCTTTCTTCCTAATCTCCTTATTTACCTTTGTTGATTCTATTCAGTGTTAAAATATTCCTTAATAGTCTTTGGCTTCTCAAACTCAAAAAGAAAATTGTTCTGGTTCATGATATTTTTAAAAGAATAACTTATTGCTTAGCCTTGTCCTTTGACACATGAACAGTATTAAGTTTTGTTATAGGCTCATGTGAGCCTTATATTTGATGAAAGGAGAAGTGCTTCTATAAAGTTTTCAAGACAGGATTTTTTTTTTTAATTGTCGTGCACATCTAATACATTAAATATCTATGAACCTAAGATTTGAGTATTATAATTACTGTATTTGTACTGTTGGTCACATGCATCTCATACTGTATTATTCTAAGACAGGTTGTTTTTCAATTAAATATATTGTGATTAAGAATATGATCATGAATAAAATTTTAACTAAAAAGTATATATATGTTATAGTCAGGGTTATATATAGTCTTCCCAAATGTGTACACACACACATACACACACACATACACACACACATAAAATATACACACTTGAACACCCCTCCTTTTTAAAATGGAAAATGAGCTCATTCTATCACGTACTTATGTGTGAAGTGTTCTTTGGATTCATTATGAATTACTAGCTATTCCTAGAAATGATTTACAATGTCTGGGTCAGTAGTTTGCCTGTGATATATATCATTTTGACTCAGTTGTCCTTCATTTCAAGATCTAATCTAGAGCCTAAGATACAATGTTTAAAGAAAGAAAAAATAATCATTTCAAATTGTTTCTATTTGCTTGAAGTTCATAACCCCCTATCTTTACCCTGCCTCATTTGGAAAAATTAATTCTTTTGTTATCCAATTAATACATACACATAGTTCAAAATTTCAAATAATATACAGAGCTCAGAAGGAAAAGCGACATTTTCCTATCCCATTCCACCTCACCCCTAAGTTGATCTCCCCAAACTCTTTAAGTAGTTTCTTTTGGTATTTACCTCCATCTTAAAAAAAAAAAAATAGATAAACGTATTCTGTTACGTCTTTATTTATTGACTTTATTAATTATCTATTAACATGCTATTATGGAAGATGAGGATTTTGTACTCTTAACTCCATGAATTACTTTCAGCTCCTCCTTTCTATTCTTCTAGTATAGTGATATCTATTATTTGTTGTTGTTGTTAAATTTATATTCAGTGTTTAACTTAGGACTTTTATTCACTGCTAACTAGTAGTGTGTTATGATTACATTTTCTTTCCTGTGCAACTTTTTGTTCTTTCTGAAGTTGACAAATTTTCCACAGGACTGTAAGAGCTTTTTGTTTTCCATTTGTTCAACCATAATCAGGTATTCTCTTCTATTAGTACAATTTTCTTTTCCTCTTGAAGATAGATGTTTTGGGACCCTTTTCCTCTTCTTCTAGTCTGATGGGTTCCTGGCTAGATATGCTGCATGGCAGTCTTTCTGGGGCTTCCCTTTGCTTCTAGAAGATAGCAGAAGAGAGTATCTTCCTGACCTTGGTAGACAAAGAACTGGTAAATAGGACACAAAAAGCATTATGCATAAAGGAAATAATTGATTAATTGGGCTACATTAATATTAGGAACTTCTACCAACAAAACACAGCAGACAGAGGGCAACCCACAGAGTTTGTAATACATACACCTGACAAAGTATATCCAGGGTATATAAATAACTCTTACAATATCAAGTTCCAGCAAACCCCGGATGATACCAAGGGTTGATAAGGATGTGAAGCACCTGGCCGCCTCTATCAGTCCAAAGGTTCTGCCCTTTTTGAAGTGGCCAGTGATGTTCTAATTTAAAGAAGCCAGATCTTTTATGCTATTAATTTACTTGACCTCTCTGTAGTTTTTCATCTCACCCGTTCTCTGTGTTTTTAAAATTACATTTGTCAAATTCTCCTCTGTCCACTTCTTGTCAGTCTTATTTGCTGACTCTTCTTCCTCTGGTGAAGATACTGTGCTATTAGAGAGCCATTCTTGGTCCCCGCTTCTGTCGAGTCACTCAGGAAACTCATTCATGTCCCTGACTTCAGCTATCACAACCATTCTGCTGAGTCCCAAATCCGGATCTTAACTTAGTGCCTGCATTTCCCTTGTGAGTTCTTAACCCTGATTCATCTCCGTCTCCTTGCTGGACGGCCCCTTCTGAATGCCCTCTACTTTTATCAGCCCAACATGTCTCTAACCAAACTAATTAATTTTCTGCTCATAATTTTCTGCTACTGTCCTATATACATTCCCTCCCTACCCCATCCTCTCAAATAAGAATCTGTTATATTTGATGTGTCCTTTCCATTAGTCTTCCATTCCAATTTGTCAAAACCAAGTTTTTCACAATATTCCCCTCTCCCCACCGCCCACCCCCCAATATTCTCATTGAATACTCCAGCCAAACACTTGCTCTTCACTGGACTCCTCTGAGACTTTTCAGATAATATTCTTTCTGCCCAGTATTATTACAGTAATACTGATCACTTTCTATGACTGTAAAAGATACCTCTAAGTCACAGTGATTCCCCTTTCACTGGGAACTGCCCCCGACACACAGGGCTGTCCCTACTGTTACCATGTCTGTAGGTGATATGGTTCTGCCCCCTGATTAATTCATGAGATGACATCTGACCCAAGCAGGACAGGTGAAATTTGCTAGGGAATTGGGCATTTTGACCCCAGTTAGGAATAGGAATAGGACAGAAATTAGGAATGATTGGGAATAACTTATAAAGTTGAGGTCAGTACTGAATATGAAGTCACGTGTTTCTCAGGGAGTGACTGACCCTCAGGCTGTGCTGGGTGTCAGCATTAAATCCCACAAATCTTCCAGTTTAAGAAGAATAGAAATAGGCCATAGTCACACATTCTAATTTCTAGTATTCCATGTTATATATTTATATCCCTTAGGTTGTTTATTCCCTTAAATAACTCATAAAATATCCTTGATAATAAATATTGTTATTAGTAGTTAGCGTTTGTTGAGCCCAAAGTACCATAAATTATGCTAAGCACTTTTCATTCATGATCATATTTAATTCTCACAATAACCCCAGGAGAGGTTATTATCCTCATTTTACTGAGGCACATAGATGTTATTAAACCAGTTTTCCTGCTCAAGGCCATACAACTAAGTGGTGGAACTCATGTAGAGATACAGCTGAGTCCACAGTCTTAACCCACCACCCAGCGGTCCTCTCCCTGGCTATACGTTAGAATCACCTGGGACATGAGTCTCACGGAGTGAATCTGACTTACGAGGTCTGGAGAGTGGCCTGGCCATCTGTTATTTTTTTTTAATTTCCCAGGTGGTTCTCAGGGTAGCGCGAATTGGGAACTGTTTGCTCCAGTGTACTGCTTCCCAGAAGTAACCAATGTTTTAGAATTAGCCAACTCACCTGCCCACACACTCCCTCAGCTCCACAAACCTCAGAAGGTTTCATGATATAATTTGATGTCTTAAACTTGAAATGTTGCTTTGAGTCATCCCTCCCTCACTCCCCCACCAAGTGAGCCAGATTTGAAAATTATTGTACCAGCCTTTTTTATTTCCACAAATTAACACTAGATGGCAAACTACACATAGGGAATCATCTTACGTTAAGCATTTTTTATCTCTGAAACATTTGATTTTTTACTTCAAATAACCTTATTAGCCAATATTTGAGTTTAATAATACAGTATTAAAACCACGGGGATTTTTTTCATAAATTGAATTACTCTGTATTGTGGATCAACTCATATTCCCTTAAGCAGAACCATAGATACCCTAGATGTACACTATGGCCTTAATTTTAGTTATTTTTTCAACTTCAGCTTTAAAAGGGGGTTCATTAATTATAAACGTATATAAAATGAAATATTCGCGAACACTTTTCTACCAATAGATTTTAATGTCCTGTCAAAAACTTGACTCATTAATTAAAACGTTTACTAATGCCCTGCTTACGTTTCCTAGGAAGTTTGTGG